TGCTGAACCTGCAACTGAGTGTGAATGTGTCTTACCTGGAAAGTAAAAATTGGGCCTGGGCTTTAGTTAAAACCTGCCAGAAGTGTAGATTAAATCAAATTAGAATTTGTGTTCAATTTCAAATCAAATTAATAAGAGTTCACAGATCTAGAACGGTTTTGTTTTGGTTTGGTTTTCCACAGCAGAACTAGCCTGTTGAAGAAATGGAATAATTTCAGTCTCTAGCTATTTCAAAATATGATTAAGATAATATAATTTAGAACGTATCCATATTCAGATTAGCAGTGGATGTGTCCCATGAAGATAATGGTTAGACCCAGCATTGGTTGGCTTAGGAAGCCTGAAGAGCCCCCTGCAGGTGGGGTAAGTGTGAACAGTTCTAGGGGTACTCAAATAAAGGAGTCCTCCTTTAGAAAGAGCAGATGCTCAAGCTGGATGAGGCACAAGCAGCCCAGCTTACCCAGTAGGGTTTCGTGAGCCTGTGGTACTGTGTAATAAATGTCACAGAGTGCCAGTCTGAAATAAGGCTAAAAAAGCAGATGCAGGAGGTGAAATACATACACAGAAGACTAGGCTATTGGCTTCTTTTGAATATAACAAACAGTTTTCCTACAATACGAGAAATATCTATAACCTATTTTATTGTTTTAATTTCAGGGTGATGATCCTAAGGAGACAATTTGTGTATATTTCAGCAGTTCGGTGTTGGATTTGATCTGATGTGATTTTGTGAGCATTAAACTGCATTATTACAATAGAGAAATAATTTACACTTGGGGAGGAAAGGAAGAAATTTTTCACACAGTGACTGCTACATTTCTGAATTTTGAGTAATCATTTTTTAAAATACAAAATAACATTTATTTGGGAAATTCTGAAATTCCTCACTATTGGTCTAATTGTAGCAAAGCACAATCTCAGGATGGTGGCAATATGTGACATTCATCATGTTTTGCTTTCCATTAAAATATTTTGACGTAAGATCTCTAGTTTTGTTAATACTACATAATACAGGCAGTAGTTTCTGTAGGGTAGCTGCTTGAGTTGGCAGTGAACATTTTCAATTAAGAACTTGATCCTGTAAACACTAGCATCTGTCTACGTGAGAATGTAATGAGAAGAGCTACAGAGGAGCAACTAATTCAGAGCCACATCATTCGTAGTTTGTCCCAGGGTACACAAATGAAAAAATCCTGCAGGTTAGAGATTGCCAAGTGGTTTATGGGCTTTCATTTTGCGGGCAATAGATAATGCTGTGGATTTAATGGGATCACTCATGTGAATGATGTTAATTTTGTGAACAAGTGTTGAAGGACCAGAGCTGTATAATTGTTTTTAAACCCCTCTTCTTGCTTGTGTTCCTGCTTAAGGTCCAGTTCAGCTCCAAATGAGGGCAATAAAATAGGTTCCACGCTGCAGTCCCCAGAGTCCCAGAAGGGCATGACTGTGCACAGATTCCTGCAATTCCAGATCTGTATCTCGGCTGACATACAAGATGGACCATTCATTAGAAAAATGATTGGTACCAGACCTTTCATTTCTTCTATTTCTTTTTCACCTAGCATAGCTCCTATCAATATGTGACTACAGATAAGGAAACTGCACTAAGCATTATTAAAAGAATGTTCCTCTTACAATCAACCTTAAACTTGTCTCCTATACCAGGACATATGAGAAAAGAACCTACAGTCACTTAATGACCAACCCATGCAGTTCTTGTGCTTTAAGTTTCCACATGGCCCAGGAATACCTGTGGAGCAGTGTCCTGCAACAAGAGAAAGTAAAATATCAGCCCAATGGAAAGAATTACATTAACATTTACAGGAGCTATGACAAGCGGTTACTGCCTGAGCTATGGCTGCTTGTATTTTACTGCAGGAAAAGAGAAAAAAAATAACCAGTTTCTGTTAAGAGTTTCAGTGGCTTTTTTGAGAGTCTGTTGAATGATCAGTTCAAAGATAGAGTGTCCTTCTTCTTTTACAGTCAGCTAATCAACTAATTTAAAGAGCATTCAGTATTCCACTCACTGAGGATTATATCGGTTAAAAAAATCGTATCTTTTATAAAATAAGGTTCAAAAAACTTCTAAGCTGATACTTTAGAAGAGCATTTCTATATTGTTGTAGTACTTGAAAGCTTACCTTGCAGCAGTTTTATAATCACATAAATAATCCTGAAAGTATTAGAATCAATCGTCGTGGTTCCAGGTCTGTTAGTTGAAACACATTCAGCATCTTGATCCATATCCAAGATAATTATATCAGAATCCAGTACTACTCCTACCCAAGCAGAAGTGTCCGTAAATCCTGGCTGCATATTATGAGCAAAAAAGTAAATTTTTGCAAAATAAGGTTTTTAAAATATAGATAGTGCTTTGGGGCATTGAATGACACCACTAATATACGAGTGGACCTCTGAATATCGGCAGGGCTTTTAGCAGAAACAAAGACATCAGAATTGAGTTGATGGGTACATCTGTGATACCAGCTGGTGGCTGGAAGAGGCAAGTATGAGGGTTTGATTTGCTGTGGTCTGTTAAGGTTCCAGTACCACACGTCCACATTTTGTCTTCACCAGCAGAGAAATTTGTGCCAGTTCCTTGGCACAGGCATTTGCTGCTCACATGCAGAGAGCTGGCCGCTGCAAGACCCTGCATTCTTGTTACAAGTGTTATGGATGATTCCCTACTGCAAGACCCTAGTTATAGATCAGAGACAAATTTGCTCCCAAAAGAGCTCCTCCTATGCCATAAATCACTTATGTAGACTGTCCCTGTATGCTTGTAGCTGGAAGCTGTGCAAAGTTATGTACTTGTCCTTTGGGTGATGCAAACAGCCTAGGTTGAGGAGAACCACATCATATTTCATCCAGAGAGACAAAGACACACCTGTGTTCAGGCAAGGACTGTAATATTCCAGTCTAGTGTAGTGCAATGAGATGATCTCAGCTGGGCAGTAGCTACATGGTTTGACTTGGAAAAATTAATGTATCTTTTAGAGATTGAGAGGATCTTGCATTGAACCTGGAACAATTGCAAGTGCTTTGTGTGTATATAGAGGTGATGCAAAGGGCATCATTCATGGCTCAGATTACATTCAATGAGCTACTTAGCATGAGTAAAGTTGCAAAACCTGGTTGTATGTAAGTAGAATATGTGGAGAGGAGAAAATGAAATTTATCCATAGTGAGAAGCAACTTTTTTCAAAAGTGTTTGTTAGTAAGCACTGTATTGCATTATCTCAGTGAATAAATGTGTAGTGTACCACAACACACCATGAAGAGCTGAAGTTTCTCTGCAGCTGTGTTATTTATAACACACATGCATTATTAACTAGAAAGGTTATTGGAATACATTTTTAGAGAGGTTTAGCCAAAAAGAAGCAGCCTATTCTAGTCTCCTTGACAAAAAAGAGGTCTTAACTGAAGTAGCGTGATGTGGCACTCACAAATGAGAGCAAACAGAAATGTGTGTAACGTGGAGAAAAACATTTTAGCACTGTTTCAGCAAAGTTTAAACTTGCTGTTGACCTGAAGCCCTGATCCTCTGTGCTCTCAGAGCTCTCAGTGATTTGTGTGGAGCACAGGACTGAGAAGAAATGTGTGGAGGAATTGTTAACCTTTCCTACCCTTTCCTCTTCATAGAATAAAAATATGCTCTACTAGCCTTTAGATCAAGTACCTATTTTTAAAGTAGCTTTCTCAGGCCGTGCTCCAGACATGAAGTTATATGAGATGTTAGTTGCATCCACTTCACTCCACAGAAGTGCAGACCTCATACTTGGCCTTATTATAGCTACTGCTGCTGTGTGCTTGATGACTAGGTCCTGTTAATTTGTGCACAGGCTGGGCAAGTTAATAGCAGCGTTTCTGTGTGCCAGGGTACAGTTAGACTGACTTGCTGAAGTGCACTCACTGTGGGAAAGGATGTTTTCTCAAGTAGCCAAATAAATGATTCCTTATTTATTTTACATCTGTGATTTCTCATTTATTTTACATCTATGCCAGGTTAGTCATGATTAAATGGATTTTCTACCTGGCTGGGAATGTTTTGGACACTTCTGCAAGACTGAGCCAAGTGCAGTTTTGATTAAGGATTCTTGACCAAAGGTTAGGAAGGGCCTTTCAGTTCCCTCAGTTTCACATGAGGAGTAATATTTTTTTAGGGTTTGTGGGCCTCCAATAGTGTCACATGCTGTGAATATTGAGATTAAATAGTTTCCTAAAGATAGAAACACAGACAATGCGTTAATAGTTACGTTGTACTTTGCAGAGCCTGACAGTGTTCTTGCACACTACTTCTTCTCGACGTTAGACTACAGCCTTCTTGGCTGCTTTTCTCCTCTGAATTTTTAATTTTGTATCTTTCTTCAGGATCCAGTGCTGCCTCGAGTTGGTAATTTCTTTTCCCCCTGTGGGGCGTTATGTAGTCCTGTTTAGTGTCTGTTAGGGAGTTTCTGTGGCTGTGAATCAAATGGTGCTATGCTTGCAGCATAGTAAAACATACTTAAAATGGCTTGGTTTACATCTCAAGGAAGGCAGCATGATGGGATATTCATATTGCCTAACTGAAGGTGCTAAATTTGAGCTGCAGCTCCACGGTGACTTGAGCTGTAGCTCCACGGTGACTTATGCTGTAATGGCTGGCTACTCAGTCCAGTCGTCGTTCTTGAGCTGCACCTCTTCCTTCATGCTGTCTCTGGCTCCTGTCCATTCCTACACTGAGCCGGCAAAAACCTGACATGGCATCACAAAGAGAAAATTGTTTCATGCCAACAGACTCAGGGGAATTTCAGAGTCAAAGCAAAGGAGGGAGTGAGACCATTCATTATCTGATGGGTCTTGAGCAGGGCCAGTGGTCCCCTGCAACCTCAGTCAGGTCAGGAAGGTCACATCTCTGGAACCCTCCCAGTCAGAAGGGAGAGATGAGCTCCTGCAGGAGCCCATCCTGGTGGGCAGGAGCCCATCTATCCCTGTGGTGATGGAAGGCACCTAAGAGCTGTAGGTACCTACACTGGCTGGTTGTTCCCCTTCTCTCTTTCTCATTAGTCATTTTAACAGACTGCCCACCATCTGCAGGTTCTGAAATGATAAGCATAAAAAGCCTTTGACTATAAATACTATTTCTCAGTTCACCGATAGGAAACTTGCATAAACTTGCTAATTATTCAGCACACTTGTGCTTTCAGTCTCTGCTAATCCCAGCATCTCAAACAGCATCTGCAAGAACAGAACTGCTCGAGGTCTGGCAGCTTTGAGACAAGTCCATCTCACTTTGATTCTCTTTCCTTTGCACAGCAGTGAGATGTCTGACCACATTGCCGTGCTTGAGTTAAGATGAAATTCTCTGTCCTGTGTGACTGATCAGTTAGTTGGGCTGGGTTGATAGATCACTTAGACCTTGACCCTGCACAGACTGCATGGTGGAGCTACAGCCCAACACAGCAATCTAGGCTTTAAAAACATTTGACCTGGAGATCTTTCTCTGTCACCATGTGACGAAACTGTGCAGTGAGATCCTGAACATCCATACAGTAGCTCCTCCAGGGACTCTCAGGTCCACAAAGCACGTGTCCACTTGTGTACAGGAGTCTGTGTGAGATCAAGCCCAAAGAATATTCTGTGCAGTGCTTATTCTGAAATAGCTTTATTTCAAACAGCTGGTAGCTGCTTGTTGCACACTCTGAAGCAGTAGACTTCTTACACATGAGCTTGTTACTCAAATATATCTTAGTTTGAAATATTTACACCCAGGAAATCCTTCACTGTGTGCTACTTTAGCAGCTTACCTTTTCATCTCTGGGTCTGCTAGCAAAGAACAGTGACAAAAGGATGTTTATTCACCATATAAAGGCTGGCTCTCTTGATTTTGAATTCTGTCCTTTTAGGCAGAAGCATCATCCTTCTCTGAATTTCTGGACAGCCAAATTTCAAAGGCTGCTGAACTCTCAGGGTGAGAAATCATTTGGGGCTTTCAGCTGC